CTGATGGAAAGTGATAACCATTGCCTATAGACTTAACCAGTACCATGGACATAACAGAGTTTACTGTTTCGCCCATGATACCCCCTATGCGTTGCCATTCCTGAGGACTAAGGTGTTATTCCTCTGTACCCTGTAAATTCACTGCCATATCCCACCCTTCAAAATGAAACACAGCCATGCAGACACAACTGCTTTACGATTGAAACACGAATGGGACCGAGGTACCCAAGTGATTGATATTGTAAAATCCTCTTACCTGTTCATGAGCTTCACCAGATCAATCTTGAACTTGTCGGCGTACATCTCGGAGAACTGTTTGAGGGTAAACGCCCACCCGTGGAGACCGGAGCCGAAGCCCACTGAGCCCCTGCTGGGGTCCACGCGAACCTCACCTGTTACCGCCAGACATTGATGTCAATATTTAACAATCATCAGAAACGCGAAGTATCTCACCTCACTTTGAATATTGTATACATAAACATCTCTAACTCGTGTTTTGTCGCCAAACAACTGTGCTTATCGTTTCAGTTTAAGCGTGTAGGAAATAAGTATGAATAACCCTTCTAATACATGTCTATAGAGGTAGGCAACAGTTACCATTTTCTATCAGGTGGGTTTATTTGCCATTATATTTTGCATATAAAAAGATAAACTATGAATAAACACAATAAACACACTATTTTCCTGTGTTCTCTCTTCGTTTTCCTTCGTAATTTTTTTTTCTGTTGTACATGTGCTGTTAAGTATGTGTATGTATATATTTAATTGTGTATATATTATATATGTATGTGTATGTATGTATGTAACGTTTATTACATCTAGATAGAAAAAACCTCAAAATAATGATAGGGATAATAACAGGCCATTGTGCATTAAACAAACATTTATACACAATAGGAGCCACAGACAGCCCTCTATGTCGAGGCTGTTTCGACGCTGAAGAAACGGCTGCTCACATAATCCTGGAATGTGAGGCTGTGGCCCATCAACGTGTAGAAATGCTCGGAACGGTGAGGTCGCTCCGTGAGGCCTGTGAAGAACCCAGGAAGCTTGTGCGCTTCTGGGCGGAGCTAGGTTGGCTGTACTAGCCACGATTCATACGCACAACGGCCCAAATGAGAGGCTAAGCGCGGAAAACAGAGTCTTTCTCACACATGTATGTATGTATGTATATATGTTTGTATATGATAATATTTATATAATAGTACGCCACCTACCCTTTGTCTTTTTGTCAATGTCCTCTACCCAAAGGTTGTTTGGAAGAGATTGCTTAGCGATAAGGCCGCCTTTTGTATCACTTCTCATTAATATTTACTGTATTTGTTATTTCTCTTTTTACTTGGTGCAATAAAGTGTAAATAAATAAATAAAGGATAATATATACATCATACAATAAAAACAATATAATAATCAGATAGTTTCATTTTCAAGTTCTTTGAAGGGTTAGTTTTAAGGATTTCAGTGAGGGTTTGAGTGCTATCTGATGCAAATGTAATTAATACAAGATGCTATACAAATATACAAAACAGGTCCCACTCTACTCTCTCATGTGGAAGGACATAACTAGCCTTCATTTATGTATCACGCTGACTGAGCTAGCGGGTAAAAGTTTATTTCGAATTTTACTTAAAATAGAAATATTCGAAAAAATACAGTAGTGTAATGTGATTTGTTTCTTTAACATTTTCTTACATTTCGAAGTTTAATAAGAACTAATGACAAGTCATATTTTTACATTACCACCATTTTAAGTATTTAATTAAAAAAAAAAAAAAAAACTATATATTGTCACAAAGTTTTACTCGAATTTGTCGACATTTTGATGGGGCGAAGGAAAAACAAACGATCAGCTGGCGAGGCGTCGACCTTGTGGGTACAATATCGATCGTGCGACTACCGCGGCGTTTCTTCTGATAATTTATATTGCAGTCACGAATGTAAAAGGGCATATCTACAATTTTATGTAATTAGAAAAATTTTGACAAAAGAATGAATAAGTATACTTTATTTGCATTATACAATATAGGAAATAAGCAAGACAATTTACAAACACAACGATACAATTGTATAAGTACAGTAAGGCGGTCTTATTGCTGAGAGCAATCTTTTCAAGACAACCTTAAGGTAAAGACTTCTTTTTAAGAAAATCACTGCGACTGTACGTTAAAAACGTATGAGGTCAAAAATATGATGAGGATATAAAAACTATTCCCATATACATATTTTAGTTTAAGAAATTAAGATTTAGAAACGAAAACCAAATTCAGATTCGAGTACCTAAATGATAAAATTGTACAAGAACCGGACTGTAAATGGCAATACATATGGACTAACTTAATTAGCCACTCACCGACTACTATGATACAGGCCTGCGAGCCTAGTGATCACAGTATAATAAATTGTGTACCCAATTTTTAGCTACAATAAAGTTATTATTATTATTATTAAGTGTTTAAAGATATTAATTAGGGTGCAGAACAATAAAGATCCAGCCCAAAACCTTTCTCACATACAATATATAGTGGTTTAATATTTTGTATGTATATATAAGTCAACCAAACAAGAAGAGTGAACTCTTTATTCATAAAAACCACAACCAAATAGATCTAGATCTATTTTAGTTATTGTTTTGTATTTTTTTTTTTTTTCAAATTGAGAAATTAGGTCAAAAGAAAAAGACAACATTTCAACAGCTAAAATAGAATTACAAGAGATTTGACATTTTAATGAATAATTGAGTAACAATCATTAGGTATATAGGAGTTTGTTACATGGCACATGAACAAAATAATACTTGTTAAAAAAAAAAACAGTAATTTATTATTAATATAATAATATGGCAGCCACTATTATTATATTATTAATATAATAATACTCACCCATGGGACCACCGTCGTCGTTGTACGTGGCGATGATGACGTTAACGTTCTCAACAATACGCTGGAAGGTCTGGTACAGCTCCTCCGACTCCAGCTGCAGCTCGAGCAGCGCGCGGTCCATCTTGTTCATGAACAAGATGGGCTTGATGCGCTCCGCGATGGCCTGACGCAGCACAGTCTCCGTTTGTACACACACACCTGAGAGTAAAAACATTTGTCAAAGCAAGAATATAATATGCCATATTTATAGACTTAGCAATTGTCTGCGCCATTGCCAGTGTTCACGATTAAATTAAGCAGTATTTTTCAAAGTGTAGGTCGCGACCCCCTGGGGGGTACCCAAGCCTCTACAAGGGGATCGCGGAAGGTCGTGAAGCAGTAAAAAATAAGCAATGTTTGCAAAAAGATATTTTTATTAAGATGTCTACTAAAGGAAATTTCTTATATTGGTAATGAATGAGAAAATGCAAGGCAATGGATTATAATGTAGAGTGGATAACACAAATTAACAAAATAAAAAAAAGTAACCATAAGTCACGTTAATGTGAAGAACGGGTTTATTTTTATGTTAACCAATTGCTCCCATCATGGTTCCCATGACAATAAATAAAAATTTACAAATTTGATATCTGTAATATAATAAATTACATACAGGTTGGGAACCAGAGTAGGTGGTCATAAAACATCACATTAAAAGGGGGGTTGTACTATAAAAGTTTGAAAAACACTGGTATAAAGTAACCTGTGCTAAGTTACCATTTAACCTAACCATGTACCAAATCTCGTTTTTTAAATTTAGCTGTGTAAGCAAGATTTAGTAACATTAATAACTTTTATATTTGGATATAAAAAATTAGTAGGATCTGAAAGTACCTATTTGTTTAAAACAAACGTATAACAACTATTCAGGTACCAAAAACTGCTGTAACTGTTCAGGTAAAAAAAAAAAAAATGATGTCACTAATGTATAGGCTTGTTACCTTATTAAATTCATCAACATTATTTCTTTCAACTTGTCAATTATTTGATCATTGAACAAATTCCTCAAAGTATAAGTCTTTCATTGTATATTAAATCTTTTTCAGGACTCTTATATAAAGTATTCCATTTTATAATTAATTTATAATGCTGTAAATATCATTTATACAATAAACATTATATAATGCATATATATATATATATATATATATATATACATACCAGAGACACAGTCCACGACTACCAGGGCACCATCAGTTACACGGAGAGCGGCCGTGACTTCAGATGAGAAGTCAACGTGACCGGGCGAGTCAATCAAGTTGATCAAGAAACCCTTTTCATTCTTTTCACGCTGGTCGGGGTTTGTAATGAATACCAAGTCTTTCTCTTCGAGCTCGAAGAACATGGAGATAGCTCTGAGGACAAATCATTATAATTAATAAATCATTGTACTTAATTAGTCGAGCCTAGTTAAAAAAAAACAAGTGCGTTATCAGATGGCCGTTCTGAGAATCTTCAAATTATTTCAGATTTATTGGTAAAGAACAATCATCACTTAATAATCAATATTTAGTTTCTTAATAAATTGTTATCCATAAATAACATAAAATAGATGTAGATTTATATTATGCCAGCTTCAGTCTCAGTTATATAAATATTCAATTAAGGAATAAAAGCTATTTAAATAATTGTATTTTATTATGTATTACAATTGTTATGAAATACATAGTGATACATACATACATATCTGTCATGCCCGTCTCCCATTAGGGTAGGCAGAAACAATGGAACGCCAAATGCTTCGATACATAGTGATAAAACATTATAATCAAAATATAAGTATGATATACAAAAATAATAATATTGCACATCAATATGACATTTCAAAAATATGAATATTTAAATTAATATGAGAATATATTTTTAATATTTGTTAATTATCATTGTAAAATATAATATCCATTGCAATAATTTGAAGCCTATGAAAAAGACTCCATTTTCCGCGCTTAGCCTCTCATTTGGGCCATTGTGCATATGAAAACTATAAACTATTGAAACCTATATATAGCTACTATAATTTATTATCTTTAATATATTACAATCATTGTGTAATAATAATATCCTTTGTAATATTACAACAAAGCATTTCAATCAGATCTGAAATAATAATTATACCGATATTATGATAAGACATTAAGCATATCATCATTTCAAATTATCTGTTGATCACTGCTAAATGTAATATCTAGCATATATGGTAATATAGAACCACATGGTATATCTGAATAACTACCCATGGCATTTCCTTACAATTCTGAAGTGAATGTCAAATAAATGATAGAGAAACAATTGAATAGCAAACAAAATGTAAGGTGACCTCCAATAATTAAAACAACATGTGCAATTAAAATTAATCAAGGGGTTTACCTTTATAGATTCCATATTTTTTAAATTAAAATTTAAGAAATTTTAGTATTTCATAATGATTAATTTATATTAAAATGTAAAGAAATATAATATAATTAATAGTCTTTTTGAAATGAATTGTCAATAAAAATTGTGAAATGGTTCACACAATCATACAAAACTATGTATTGGTGGGAGGTTTTGAAATACAATTAATTTTTAAAATTCATTCATTGAAATGACATTTTAGACAGCAGTTCATATAAATGCTGTCTTTAATTGTTTATAACAATAAAAAGAATGACAGATTGATATTTATTTTTACAAAACAATATTGTGCAATACCATAATAAATATAATAATAATTAACATAATTTTATGGTATGGTGGTTTGGACAAAAATGGCGTTGATAATGTTAAATATAACTTTTGACAATACTATTTAGATATATATATTTTTTTATTCTGTAAGGGACTCTGCAAATGGAAATTTAATATGGATAAAAATATAACCTCACAGGCTTATACATTATTTAAGTTTATGGCTTGAATCGAAGCGGTACATAAAAGCGACTTTCAAACATCATACTACAATACAAGAGGGGGTAAGGGTAAGGTGAAAAGGTTATTGCACCATGTGGTTACTCACGTCGACTTGATGGTGATACATCTGTCCTGCTCGTCTTTTCGGGTATCCGTGAAGCGGGTCTCTCCTGCCCTGGCTCCGGCGATGATACCGGCCTTTGACACCAGAGAGTCTGTCAGTGTAGATTTTCCATGATCGACGTGAGCGATCACGGACATGTTGCGGATATTCCGCTTCTTGTCCATCATGGAACGTATCTCGTCCACGGTAAAATTCACCTGCATAAACCAGAAAAACTCTCAATAACATATTTCACAACAAAACACAGATGGTCGAGCACTTGTCAAACGCACATTTTATTTTATATCTTTCCATTGCTCTCCACGTTTTAATCAATTTCAGATATATTACAATGGTATTATAGTGAAAAGAAACACAAATCTTTCACTTGAAACACTTGGAAAACGTCATCCGACGACAAAGACGACGGCAACGAATATGTGAATACTTTAGCTATAGAACACGGAATACTTAAAATATTCACGTAAAACATTAGCACAGTATCATCGTATCACTTTTCTGGACACTATTATTAAGTTAAATACTCACCATTTTGGATGGTTTTTGATTTTTCTTTCAATAAAATAAACTACCATACGCCAGCAATGGCGTACGCTTGTAAAAGGACCCTTCTTTTCGTGTGCCGGATATACCTGCCAGCCGTCAAATACGTTTCGTCCATAGACAAATTAATGTTGCCACGTTGAAAACTCTGACTTCAAAACAGTTTCAGGACATGAACTCATTTCTCTGTCTATGATATCATTGTAAGTGAAAATTTATTTATTATTTATTTTGCATTTCTCTTGAAATAAGAAATAATTATGAAGATTTATAAAGAATTGTAAAGGTAAAAATCTTGTCAGAAAGATATTATTCATAAACGTCAAATAGCTTTCTTTTATTCTTCGACATATAGCACATTTGCGATCTATATGATCTAGTGGCAAAAGACGGAACCAAAGAATATAATATTCTCTATTAAGAAGTGCAGAATTAATTTGTAATAGTAATTGTAGGTCCTATATCACTCCATGGAAGCAACTGTTGCAGTAATAGCTCACTTACTAGCAAGGTGGTTTAATAAATAGTTGCGCTACCAGAAAATTTGATGATGTCAATCTTCATTTTTAACATGATTTGTGTTATCTATCCAAAGAGCAATTAGAGAGTCTGTAGCAACGTAAGTTTTCTAAGTAATATGTGTGTGTAGTCCACAGAGCAAACAAAAACTAAAAAGAATTTCTGTATTCTTCATTGGTTCATACCTAATCCAAGAGCTGCATCCATAATGCCACACTTTATTACTAAGAGCTACTTTACGAGGTCAACAGATGGCACTGTAAGAATATACAACTATCACATTATAGATGGCATTACTTGTAGTAAATTATGTGTGCTGAATTACAGCACAAGACAGGTATTTTATCACATAGAGTAATTATCTGGTAAGTGGTAATATATATTATCACTCCGTCTTAATCCTCCTGTTCAGGTATGCCTACAGAATTACAAATGGAGAAGTATTGGATATAATTATTTATCTATGTACTTACAAGAATACAAATTGATACGTATTTTTGATGATGATTATGAGTAGATAGAAAACGCCTCACCTGTGTGGGTCGACTTCTAAAAACAAAAACTAAAGCAGTCGACCTCTATAGTCTTACCTATTTCTGCCTAGAAGCAGCAGGCAACAGCAACAGGATGGTTGATTGATGGCATACGTGGGCAGAGCAGTGTATTTTGCGACCAAGGTGTTTCATGTTCATGTTGTAGGCGACAGAGATGAAAAGTTTTTTGTTTGCCACTTTCAGCAGGTGTTTAAAAAAAAAAAATAAAAATATTACAAATACTTTTTTTTTTTCTCTCTCTCTCTCTTTCTTTCTTTCTCACTTTCACTTTATAAAATTTATTGAAACATTTTGGTTGATTAACACACACCACACGCACACGCATACGCACATACACACACACACACACACACACACACACACACACACATGGAAACGCACACATTTAAGTTAACATGTAGGCTCCTATTTTTAATTTTTTTTTTATTATTGCAGTTTATTAGTATTATATTATTTAATATTGTAATTAGTGGCTAGATACAATAAATTGTCTTCGTTGATGTTTCTACTATACTTTTTAATTGGTCTGTTTTGAAATCCCGCAATGAGAAGGAGGGCGTTGGTATTCGCGACAAGTTTTATACTTCTGCGGATATCATCGTCTTTTATTATTATTCTTATTATTAAAAAATATGTCACGTCCTTTACATAGTTTATTGTCACTTATATACCGTAATGCCTTTGCTAATACGATAATTAGAATTTTTATCTATGATTATTTGTCAACAATGGCGCCTAATTTCTTTATTATTTATTAAACATCTTATTATTACAATTGATAACAATCTAATATATTAAATTAATTGATTATATTCGTTTTGTTTTACAATTTAGTTCTACTAGTAGAACCGAATAGAGTAAAAAATCCTGTCTTAATAGAACAAAATGGACTCAAAAAGCTAGTTGTATTGGTAAAAAATATCGGAGAGGGAAATCACATTATATTGCGTCCAGATTGTTCAACGATTTAGTTCCAGTATTTTTTTTATAACAATGAAAGAAATGAAGAGGATTCTTTCATTGTTGTAAAAAAAAATTAAGTGTATACAATTTCAATAAAGAAATAAATACGTTTGAAATAAAATCGATACCTATCCAATTATCTATGACTTTATCCTCTAATCTAATAAAATGTAATAATTAATATTTACATCAAGTTGTGGATTAATTTTTTTTTTTTTATATTAAAATAAGAGTAATAGACATTTAATATAGGCTGAAATGGAAACATCCAAAGCCGCGAGGCTATTAAAAGAAAAAAAAAGTTAATCTAGACAAATGGATAGACAAAAGTACATAATTGTTTAGTATGTTTAAAAAAAATCGATGGTCTGGTCTCTTTAAACCCATCGATCTGACTGCATCCTATCGGGGGGAGGGGGACATTGTTAGTAATGCGGCCTTCCACATAGTCCCCCCCCCTGGAAACCAACGTGCTGAATTCCAGGTGTATTCATCACTATGGGCTAACTGACCTGGCTTTTCATTCTCACCTATCATCCCTCACTGGTGCCCCGCCAGCGTATACCGTCAGCGCAGGTGGGGTGACCATTCCATTATCATCCATTGACTGCATCCTATCATCGCTTACCAAAGGTTGCCTGGAAGAGATTGCTTATCGCTAAGATAAGACCATCTTTTATACTTCACAATTTATATCGCTATCATCATCATCATCATCACTACATAGTATAAAATAAAGTCGCTGTCGCTGTCTATCCGTCCCTATGTATGCTTAAAATTTTTAAAACTACGCAACGGATTTTGAAGCGGTTTTTTTTATTTTTTAATAGATAGAGTGATTCAAGAGGAAGGTTTATATGTATAATTTATCTTCTATACTTATAATAAATCTGTCGAGAGGTCAATTCTGTACGTGAAATATATTTCCAAAATAACTATCAGGCGGTGATTAGTGATCGATACTGATGCCAAAAATGCAATCAGTAAAATTTTTGTCTGCCTTTCTGTATGTTCGTTATAGAAACAAAAAATATTCGTCGGATTTTACCGAAACTTGGTATAAATATTCTTCATATTTCTGGACAGGGTATAGTATACTTTTCATCGCGCTACGATCAATAGGAGCAGAGCAGTGAAGGGAAATGTTTGGAAAACGGGAGAAGTTACTCCATTTTTAAGCTTCCGTCGCGTGCGCAGCCTTAATGGCCACTTTTTAAAATGTAAAAATGTCCACCTGCGCGAAGCCGGGACGGGCCGCTAGTACATACATAATATTGTCGAGAAACACTGACAAATTTAGAGGTTTCTAATGTGACGTGATATAATGTATACCCGCGCGAAGCCGGGACGGGTCGCTAGTGAAGAATAAATAAATAAAATTCTCTCAGCGCATACTGATAGTACAGACTGGGTTATTATTCCGTTTTCATTCATTCAAAATGAACTAACAGTTTACCGAGCCATGTTTCTAATATACTCGTACATTGAACTTTTTTGTTGGTAAATAAATAGGTACCTACACTACCTACATAGGGCGTTGGCAGTACTTAATAATATGATGGTACACGACGGGAGATGTGTTGACAATTTGGCAGGCTGGATCGACGAGCGAGGTCGACACGTTGGCGGCTCACAGTGTTCGTTCCGAGAAATTGTGCTAATTAAATTACTTCGGGCCGAAACTAATAATTGATCGCTTGTATTTCCATTTAAAATTAGATAATTTAAAATTGTCTTCTAAATTGACAACAGTTTTTGTTTGTAGATAAAATTAAATTAATTAGTAAACTGTTTTTATATAAAAATAAAAGATATTAAAATAGGTACAGAACTGAATTAAGCGGACTTGAACCGTATTTTTTTTTTTATATTCAAAATTTGACCATTTCACTTTTCAACCATCTCTAATCCATCAGCGCCACCTTACTATCTTCTCTTCTGACCTTACTTTCTTCTGATGACCCTATTATTTATAAAATACTATTATCATATGTGACTTAGAATTTCAAACAAGCTGATGCACCACCTAATGGTAAGTGGTAACCGTCGCCTATAGACATGAGCAGTAACCTGGACATGACAGAGTATACTGTTTCGCCCATGATACCCCCTCATGCGTTGCCATTGCTGAAAACTCAGGTGTTATTCCTCTGTACCTTGTAAATTCACTGCCATATTCCACCCTTCAAACCGAAACACAACCATGTAAATATAACTGTTTCACGGTAAAAACACGAATGGGACAGTGGCACTAAAGAAAAAGAAAAAAAGAATACAGGTGAATAGAACACCGCCTCCTGTTTAAAATTCATAAAAAAGTTTAAAAATAGAATTTTGTCATTTTCTAAATTTGAATTTTTATCATAATGGGAGTTGTTACTGCATAATCTATAGTTGCTGCAAAGATTGTGAAGTGTGAAGCAAATTGCGACGACTTACTAATCAGCAGCACATTCACGTCATTCATTATAATTGACTTGCATTTTATACCTTCACCTCTTCGTTTATATGTATTCAAATTATTGTAAATTTATATAGTTCAGTTGCTCACATATTAAAATCATATCCAAAACAACAACGAAATCGTAAATCCAGTAAAATAAACTTGGAACTACTAACCGACCGAAAAATCGGCAAGGGCAAACCAACACACACATGCCCAAAAAGGAGTAAAATAATTCCATTAAAAAATAATCGTTGTCATAAAATTTGTCGTGTAAAAATGTCATAAAAATGTCAAATTAATCACAATCATGTAGTAATTCATCTGAGCACCTACTTTGAAGCCGATTGAAAGAACTCGTAAAAATGCATGCACACTTTACATTATTGCCATTATTGATATTTGGGAGTATTCAATTTCAATAAATAAATAAGGAAAAAAAAAACCAGAAAATCTTCGCTTGACAGCGGTAAGAATGCTCTATTACTAATAGATATTTATTATTAAAAATGTATTTTTAAAAATGATAATTCCGTCCATCCATACTTACAATCTTTCATGCTTACATAAAATAAAAAGATACAAGTACATAGATACGTAAAGTAGAATTTATTGAAGGGCAAGC